CAGAGTAATCTCCATTATATAAATGGATTCACTGCTCGGGCTTAAATCGGGCTAACGCCAATCGTCGCTCAACTAGGGCTTAACTACGGCTGTCCGGAACTCGCAGAGCAGGCATACCTCCGGCAGAGCATGGGCTTTAGTCGGCGTTTTTGTGTCATACGCCGACTTTAGCCCAAGCCCTAGCCGACTTTAGCCCGACTAAAAATCTCGGGCAATCCGCACTTGAGCCTGCTTGGGCCCGGATCAAAATTGCTGGCTGGGATTAACCCGCGCACCGACGGGGGTCGGTGCGCGGGTTAACCCTCGCCCGCACATGGGGGGGGGTTGCCACCCCCCACCCAGGAAGTCTTTCTGCTCTGCACTCAACATTTTTAGAGCTAGAAGGCTGATTTTTCGTATAGCTGCTCGTCTATCCTTTCTTGATGTCCACTGAAAATTTCAACTTTCTGTGATTTTCGGTTTCGGAGATATGACCTTGTTTTTCAGGTCATGTCATGACCCAAATGGCCAATTCTCAACATCTTGCGTTTGCCATGGGCCTTGTGAGCTTTTGACACCCTGATTTCGGCCTTTTTTGCCAGTCTTACCTCCCACCTATCATGGAACATGTTGTTCGACGACGTACAGGGGTCAAGGTCAGGGTCAAGGTCAACCTAGGTCATCTAAGATAATTGCGTTTTAGACAAGCTGAATTTACTTTTTGTGAAGTTTTTTTGACTGCATTTTTGGTAAAAGCTTCTCAGATCATGATTTCATGTGATATGGACCCAAAAACAATCGGTGCACACATCAGTATACACACAGACACACACAGACATACAAACACATATAATTGACCTTGACCTAACTTGACCTGAAATGACCTCAGCAGCAAAATTCTGGTCGGATAGTGTGACAAAGAGGTTCTAGCTGGCTTGGCACCAGAAAACAGCATCGTCATCGGTATTTGATAAGCAGCGCACTTGATATCCAACGGTGACCCAAAACAGCAACATTTTTTAGTTTGACCTGACCTGGAAGGTCAATGACTGACCTGAGAAGGTAAAACTGGGTATCATTGGATTCGTCTCTTCCCAAAGAATCTTTTTGGTCTTTACTGCTAAGCTCTATCTCCAACAGGAACGAAATGGCGCAGGGGGGTGGCAACCACCCCCCCCCCCCATGTGCGTTCTAGGATGGGAAAATGGCATGTGCGGGCGAGGGTTAATAAGGTTCTCCCCTGAGATCTCGAGAACGAAGCAAGATAGCGACAAGCGGTAAACGGCATGGGATACGCACGGACAAGGTCTACAATTTTTAAAAGGTCATTTTCAGGTCAGGTCAAAGATGACGTCACAGAGGTAAAAAAAGTCAAAATGGCGGCGCTAGATATGAAGAGAGTTTTTCTCGAATAACTTTCGAACTAGTCAAGATAGGAACAAACTAAGGGCATCATCGTGATCCTCTCGTCAATCCGCATCGAATGATATATATATATATATGTTGACCTCGAAAGGTCAAGGTCAAAGGTTGACCTCAGGTCACGTGACCTCGAGGTCATCATGTATATCCTTCGATGCGCCTTGACGAGCTGAACACAATGAGACCATCCGCGCGGCTGTATCTTGTTCCTGTACGGAGTTATTGGCAAAAAAACCTTTGGTGACCTTTGATGACGTCACATGACCTTACACTGCTGCCCAACAGCAAAACAGACCTCAAGGTAGTGAAGGTTGATCGTATATGAAGTCATGTATGGTATATGGGGCCATTCCGACCCGTTTTAGCGGTAAAACAGGGAGTTGATTTTTCCCTTATTGACTTATAATAGGGAGGTCGAGAAATTGACCTGACCTTAGGTACTCGATATCAAAATTCCGAGATATACAAATTGTAGCTACTAATGACCTTAACCCGCGCACCGACGGGGGTCTGCGCCAACTTAGTACCGACGGGGGGGGGGGGGGGCGGATGACCGCCCCCCCTGAGATCTCGAGAACGAAGCAAGATAGCGACAAGCGGTAAACGGCATCGGATACGCACGGTCAAGATCTACAATTTTTACAAAGGTCATTTTCAGGTCAGGTCAAAGATGACGTCACAGGGGTCGAAAAAGTCAAAATGGCGGCGCTAAATATGGAGAGAGTTTTTCTCGAATAACTTTCGAAGTAGTCAAGATAGGAACAAACTAAGGGCATCATCGTGATCCTCTCGTCAATCCGCATCGAATGATATATATGTTGACCTCGAAAGGTCAAGGTCAAAGGTTGACCTCAGGTCACGTGACCTCGAGGTCATCATGTGTATCATTCGATGCGTCTTGACGAGCTGAACACAATGAGACCATCCACGCGTCTGTATCTTGTTCCTGTACGGAGTTATTGGCCAAAAACCTTTGGTGACCTTTGATGACGTCACATGACCTCACAGCTGCCCAACAGCAAAACAGACCTCAAGGTAGTGAAGGTTGATCGTATATGAAGTCATGTATGGTATATGGGGCCATTCCGACCCGTTTTAGTGGTAAAAACAGGGAGTTGATTTTTCCCCCATTGACTTATAATGGGGAGGTCGCGAAATTGACCTGACCTTAGGTCACCGATATCAAAATTCCGAGATATACAAATTGTAGCTACTAATGACCTAATAACATCCTGCGACTTTCAAAGGCCTCCGACATCTACTGTAGCTCTGGCACGGTGACAAAGTTGCAAAAAAGTGACTTGAGGTTGGGTCATTCAAAGTGACCTGGTGACCTGACCTTGAAAGGTAAGAGGTTCAAACTTGCACACCATGTGTAAAATTGATAAGGGAATAGTCATACCAAATTTCGCGGCGCTACGCGCCGCGGTTTTCCCGCTATTCGCGAAAACCCTCAGGGGGGGCGGATATCCGCCCCCCCCCCCGTCGGTGCGCGGGTTAAAACACCCTGCGACTTTCAAAGGCCTCCGACATCTACTGTAGCTCTGGCACGGTGACAAAGTTGCAAAAAAGTGACTTGAGGTTGGGTCATTCAAAGTGACCTGGTGACCTGACCTTAAAAGTTAGGAGGTTCAAACTTACACACCATGTGTAAAATTGATGAGAAAATAGTCGTACCAAATTTCTACGCGCCGCGGTTTTCTCGCTATCTGCGAAAAACCTCAGGGGGGGCAGATATCCGCCCCCCCGTCGGTGCGCGGGTTAACACTCCTCGACGACGAATAGACGCGAGTAATACGCTACTCGTTGGACGTGACAGACGCCACACCTATCGACACTCTGCTAACAAAGATGGAAAGTCACCTCAGGAGCCAAAGGAACGTCATCGTCGACAGCAAATAGTTCCATACCAGACAGCAAGCAGACGGCGAGCCATTCGACGAGTACATATGTAATGGCCTTAAAGGAACTGGCAGGGTTCTGCGACTTCTGCGCCCACTGCGCAGACGACCGGCTCCGGGACAGGATCGTGACGGGCATCAGATGTGAGGAAACAGTGCGACTCCTCCTCGCCGAATCGTCATTGACACTGCAAAAAACGATCGACATCTGTCGGGCAAGAGAAAATGCGACGCAGGACAGTGAAGCGATCCGGGGCAGTCACGCTCGCCCCGTGTCAGCCTACCGGCAGCGACGAAGCCGGGACAGCAGAGCCGGCTGGAGTCACGGTCAAGACGCCCGAGACACGTACCGAGACGGCCGATACGGACGGGACGGCCAGGACAACCGGGAGAGATGCTATGATAACGACCGACGGGACTACCGATCTGCCAGCCGTGGCAGGCGATGCGGCTACTGCGACGGACCATGGCACACCAAGGAGCAGCTAGCCTCCTGCCCTGCTAGAGGCACCACGTGCCGATCATGCGGCATCAAAGGGCACTACACATCAGTCTGCAGGAGATCTAGGCGGAGGCACACGCGGTCAGGCTCTGAAGACAGCCAGACATCTGACGGGCCTCACCTGAACGACGTGCGAATGCTAGGCGTCACAGCAAAGAAAACACCACAAGTCTCCCTCCTGGTTAGTCATCAGCGTGGACAGGGGTCACTACTGTGGACGCCAGACACTGGCGCCGAGGTCTCTGTCATCGGCTCCAGAGAAGCGGAGAGGATTGGCATCGACTTAGCACATCTGACACAGCCAGCCGACCGGCTCCTGGCCGCTGGAGGACACCAGTTGAAGTGTGCCGGCTCGCTCCAGTGCACACTGACCATGGGACAGCGCCAAACGTCCACCACCGTAACCGTCATACCGGGTCTCCAGCAGGGTTGTATACGACTCAATCAATAGCAATCAATTCAATCACGACAAATTTGGGAAACCTATCAAATCAATCAAGTCAGAGCAGTTTTCGGGAATGGGGTTGGGAACTCGATTTTTTAAGAATGCATGAAAATGATCAAACTATTTCCACAGAATTTATGGTGCATACCATTGCCTCATAAAATCAATATGCTGAGAGAAATGGGGGAAGAAAGATAGGAAACTTGTTTTGAAAAGTTCTTGAAAAAAGATGCTCTTGATGCTGTTACGTCACATGTCACCTTCTGCGGTTGACAAATACCTAATGGCGCATCTGGCGCACCACAGATTACATGTTATATCAATGGGTGAAAGATGTTGTTTGTTTCACTCTGCCATTCGCGCTGTTTTTAACTTTAAATTATGCTAAAACATTTACGGATGAAATGTTCAGTGTCAAAAATTGATGTGTCTGCCGTGTACTATATTCCCACTTAACATTGAGCGCGTGATAAACATTTTATGTACCTCGAATTTTCAAATGATAAAGATGATGAATCGGAGGATGCTGAAAAGCAAAAGCTCATTCCAATATTTGGACTACTTTACGATCAAAATGTTTACATTCCTGTCATCCTATTGATCATTTATTTGTTCTTTTTTATGAAAATAACTTAAGGCTTTGAGAACCGAGGTAATTTCTATCTACCGTGCCTTAACTTACCAGCAACAGCAATCTATCTACGCCCTACGGTGGCAAGGGAGACTGTGAAAGAAGCGTAAGATCAGGGGGCTGTCATCCCGAGCTTTCCTATTTGCCGGGCACCCGGATCTTTAACATTACCCGTGACGTCAGCGGACCGGACACTTCTCAGCTGGCCTTCCCCGCAAATTTGGCCTTGAATTCGATTTTGAGGGTCACGGACTCACGGTTGTAAACAAGTTCATTTCCTGTTTCTTGCTTGTGTTGTACCTTGGTTGTACCCTCGAGTTGATTGTTTGAAACCATTGAAACTTAAATTGATTGAATGATTCAGGACTTGATTAAGGATGTCGTACTGTGCGGTGGCTACATGCCGAAGTTACCGAAGGACTGGCAAGTTCTGCACAAAATCGTTTTTTTCGGTTCCCGAAGGATCCAGCCACATGTGCGACCTGGGTGCATAGATGTTCGAGGCAGGATCCTATAAATGTGTTGCAGGCAAGGATTTGCTCAGACCACTTTCTTGATTCAGATTATGATCCTTCCTACCTTGTGAAAGCATCCCTGATGCCAGGTGTGAGCCCATGTCTGAAGACTGATGCGGTTCCAACACAGAATCTGCGCAGTGCTGGGTCTTCGGGGTATGTATTTCATTTTAATGGATTTGATATGAATGCCAACTATTCAGTTGGTAATGTACTAATTCGAATCTTTCTTATTGTGATGGAAATTGTAACAAATTTATATTTGCTTTTGGATTTGCACTGTGACTGTGTGCGCTTGTCAGATATGTACCATGACACATTAATTTGTAAATTAGGTTGCTAGTAAGCAGGTAGGTACCAAGTTAGGTACCGCTACCGACATATTTGCATGATACTTGAAACATTTTGCATATCAATATAATCTGTGCATCAGTCACCAATGATCAAAGCAGCTCACTGAAGTTGTGCCCTATTTGAATGTTGATGTAAATGGTGTTTTCACAGACCGGCGCAACAAAGCACTCGGGACCAAGACAGACTACAGACCAAGCTCCGCCCAGCTCAGTCCCATCCAGCTGGGTCCGCGCCCTCAGCCGGGGTAGGCTCACCGTGCCATCGCCGAACTGGATGACCATCGTGGAAGAGTTCGAGGTCATCTTCCGGTTGATGATGGGTGATACCGTCGACGGTCAGTCCGGTATCGTGCAGAGGCTGCTGGCGGCACTCCAGGTAAAGCGTCCATCTCTGGACGCCAGGATCGCGAGGAAGCTGGTGACGACGCGGGTCCACCTTCGGATCCGCTCACTAAACCAGCGCCAGGACGAAGTCGCAGCCGAGAGGCGCGCCGCCAAGCAAGTCCGCCAGCACGTCCGGAGTGGTGAGCTGCATTTATTTCTTTTCGACTTGCTCTACATTTTTATCGCTATCATTCAATCGTCTTCAATCGTCATGGTAATCAAGCCATTGTAACCAGCTCTATGAGTGTAATGTCTGCATTATCTCTCCTATTTTTGTTTTGCACTTGAATGTGTCTATTTATTGCGCCCAGTTCAATTGGACAAATAGTCGAAATCGGAGTTGGCGTTAAACAGGACGGATTGCATGCTATATCTTGACTTTGGTAATCAGTAAAATTCTGGAGAGTCAGAATAGTTGAAGTGTCTACCGACCCTCCTTTCCGCTAGACCAATCGTTTAGTAGTGCTCCCAGCGAGCAGTGTTGTTACGATAAGTGGTGCTCGCGCTAAGATATTGTACACACTAAATTTTGGGGTTTCCCACTTTACATTAGTTTAAGCTCACCGACCGTCGCCATTTCAACAATCACTATTAATTCTATCTTTATTTAAACAGCACCTTAATTAGATAGATTTTGTGGCCATTGATACGTCCACGTATTGCAGAGCTCAGGCCACCACTTAGGTAAGAAGGATCATTGATTTCACTTGACTTTGTTTCAGGTAAATCGGCAGGAAGCAGCTGAATCAGGTGGAGAACGCACTGCGTCTGCCGGCGGCGTCCAGTGCCGACATCTTTACCCCGGCATCACTCGCCAGTGTGGAGAGCGCCGTCACTTTCTGTCTTCTGAGGCTGTCAGACAGTTCAGCCGGGCAGCGAGCAGCTCCCGGCGCACCATCACTGGGAGCCAGGCCGGCCTACGCGAGGAGCGGATCACTTGTGCTTACGACTTCGTCCTGGCGCTGGTTTAGTGAGCGGATCCGAAGGTGGACCCGCGTCGTCACCAGCTTCCTCGCGATCCTGGCGTCCAGAGATGGACGCTTTACCTGGAGTGCCGCCGGCAGCCTCTGCACGATACCGGACTGACCGTCGACGGTAGCACCCATCATCAACCGGAAGATGACCTCGAACTCTTCCACGATGGTCATCCAGTTCGGCGATGGCACGGTGAGCCTACCTCGGCTGAGGGCGCGGACCCAGGGCGTGATCACGCGAGCTGCCGGCTTGGCCTCTCTGGACGCGCGCAGTGCTGACCCCTGTTGAACAGTAATTTTGGTTCATTCATTTTGTGCGGATTCGTGGTTGCGTGGTTGACAGTCGCTTTTGCTCATTCATCTTGTGCCGACTCGTGGTTGCGTTAACCATTCGTGATTGCGTTGTGCCGACTCGTGGTTGCGTTAACCATTCGTGATTGCGTTGTGCCGACCCGTGGTTGCGTTAACCATTCGTGGTTGCGTTAACCATTCGTGATTGCGTTGTGCCGACTCGTGGTTGCGTTAACCATTCGTGATTGCGTTGTGCCGACTCGTGGTTGCGTTAACCATTCGTGATTGCGTTGTGCCGACTCGTGGTTGCGTTACCCATCGTCTGTGTGCCCGTGTGTGCGGGGACACGGACCACATGTGCTCCCTCACTGGATGGATATTGGATAGACATGCGCGAGCAGTGTTGGGGTCGTTTTGTTTCCTGTCATGGAATACATCTGTTGGTGGTTCTTAATTGGTTCGGTACCTAGGCTTTCGGACGGAGTGAATCAATGCTTTCGTTATTGTGCCCATGTGGCCGAACAAAAACACGATATCATCACCATTCACCATCCAGATACACCCCAGTTGCCCGCATGGCTTTGGCCCCCGGGACCCTAACACCGATAGCCCCGCGATTACGCACAGGAACATAAACCAAAACATAGTCCTTGCAATGCATTCCTCCAGGCTCCATCCCAGTCCTTTGTCTAGCAATTTTCGGAGTACGTATCTGCGGTATCGCGTCCGTAGCAGCCTTGGGAGCTGCTGGTGACTACAGGGGCCTCACGGGTCCCGAGTCATGTGGGCCATAGCACCACAGGGCACCGCATCTTTTTCGAGATAAATGACCGTTATGAAGCATGTCGCATTTTCCTGAGCATGACCTGGCGTTAACATAACTTAAGCGCCTGCCGGCCCTCGCCTGCCTGCGGCTGACAGCTGACGAGTGACGAGCCACCTGGAGATCGCCAACTCAACCCTAATTACGGCGTTGTCCGCTAGGTGGCGGGGTCGTACGATCCAAGTCGGGACAGGGGATTCTCATAATTATTTTGTTATCATATTTTCCCCCTTTTTAAAGTCATTTAAAAGCGCTATTGCACAAGTAATTTTTCGATTAGCAGCGATTCCAGCCGCCGCATCAGGGTCAGGATGGAGCCAGGGAGCGTATGCGCCGGTGACGTCACCGTAATGTTGCAGATTTGTAACATTAGCGAGCCCGGACGATCTTACCTAACTTATACGGCCTTGCGTAAGATGGATTCTAAACAATTCTTTTGTGATATACTGAAGGGCAAAGTGCAGAGAAGAGCGTACAAGTCCTGTTTTGTGCCAGGCTGTTGCAGTAGCACTTATGAAACTCCGAAAACGATCTTCGTTCATGTCCCGAACAACATTATCCTGAGGAGATGATCGTCTGCAATAGCAGGAAGAGCTGATGCAAGTTTTTTGAAATCCACTATCAAGTCGGTGCTATTGTTGTAATGATCACTGTGAGGTGAGATATTTTGTGCAAGGGCTGAGTGTAATGCCCAGGAGATGACCTCCATTCGCCCCCTGACCGGTCAGCAGGGGCGTCGCCACGGATTTTTGAGTGGGGGGGGGGGGTCGGGTTTCTAGTCTTCACCCGATGGGTAGGGGTGTTTTTTTTTTTTTTGCCACACTTCCCAGTTTTGTGCGTGCGTATGTGTGTGTGTGTGCGTGTGTAACAAATCGGCGCGCAGCGCCGCCAAATTTGGTATAACCTATTAGGTAGGTATTAGGTAGGTGATGTAGGTAGGTATACCTACCTACATCACTTGCGTAAAAATTATCACTGGTCACTTAAGGTCAGGTCGCCATGTCAAGTTCAGTTATACGGTATACCTCTATAAAAACTTTCCCCTCTCGCCATTCTTTTAGCTTTTCTCCCATAACTTCGAAATTGGGTACACTGTATAGGTACCTAATGTATGGGGTTATACGTGTCAGCAATTCATGATTCTAACTGAGGATTTACATCTATGATCTGAAGGCAGGTCAAATACGTGACCTCATCATTAGAAAATAATGAGAAATTAGAAAAAGCACGAATGCCTCCTGCTTTGAAAAAAGTTCGTCAGAAACGCAAAATATCTTTGGAGCCATGACAAATCAGCAGTTCTCTATATACCGTGAGCTCATCATTGCCAGGGACAGGGTGCAACTTATGGCGAGTGATGACTCGAAAGGTCATTAGTGGAAATGTCCATCGATGGCCACCAGCATTTTTTTCTACAACTTTTGACGAAGACGCGGTAGAGCGATGACAGCACCTGGAAGGTGTTCACTGTTCAGCTCAACAACACGGATCCATTCATATGCAGCAGGAGGTCCTTTTTCGATCAGGACATAACGTTGACCTGAGGTCGTTTTAACGTTAATTCTGAATGGTCAAATTTTAACTCATGTGACGCGTCTCAAAGAGATCAAGACGGTGGTAACAAGACAACATATGTACATACCATACAAATTCACGGAATCGAAAGTTATTCCAAAGCAGATGTTTCGGCAGAATCTGTCCAGTTAGCTGTTTGCCTTCTTATGGGCCAAACATAGACCTGAGATGAAATCTAACACGAAGCTAGCGAAAGAGCGTTAAAAGAGCTATCGAATAGTTTTCTGCTTCACTGTAGCCCTTCTATTGGTGGTTTCCCAGTCGCTAACGTATAACGTATACTAAACTAACGCTGAGGCATGCTTTCGACCCCTGATCGATCTACAGGTTTGCGGAAAAAAGAGCATGCTGCCCGTGACGAGAGAAAGCCGATGATACCCATTTACAAGTTTTCGGGTCATCTCAGGACTCAGGTCATCGCCAATAAGTAGAGAAACTCGGGACCTGCTAGAACTTAGCGAATGTAAGTTGTGATGGTTTTTCGAGGTTCTGATTACGAATGTTATCTTAGTTTTGAACGAAGATGATGACTCCATGCATTTGGGGTAGATCAGGTCAGGTCAGATCGACCAGTACCTAATAGTGGATGACCACCACCGATTGCTTCCTAGCATGTTATATGAATAAGCAACACAACTACTTCAGATGGGCGCTAAGTTCAAAATCAGCTCCAAAAACTACCCTATCAAGTAAAAGCACGTTATGAAAAAGTGAACTAAGGTCATCTTTATTTGAATCAGGGATATCGATTGATTTTAAGTAGGTGATTAACTCGAGCGCACCGGAAGTTTTGTTGCAATCGGCTCCTTTTTGCGCGACTTCTTTGCGAAAGCCCGAGACGGTTCCATCCGTGACTCCCTTTCCCCTACATGTGCACTGTACAGCTAGTTGTGACGGTAGCCATGGGGCTGAGGCTAGTTTGTAGTTTTGTAGTTAGGTACTGATCCGACGAATCGACTGCGACCATTTTTTTAAAACGATCAGACGAACGCTCGGGGCAGTTTTGGCGCGTCCAATCCTTTGAGGGATAAAAAGGTACTAGGATGGGGGTACTTAAAAACATTGTTGTGCTGGTGTTCCCCGCCCACAGCTAATTGGCTTTAGGGAGCTCTTGAAGCGATTTTGAATCTGATGTATTTGTTGGTGTTGCTGACGCCTGCTTCACTGACATAAAAGCTAAAAAAGCATACTCAGCATCGCAAAAAGTGGGGGGGTCGACACCCCCAGTTTTCAAGAGTGGGGGGGGTCACGACCCCCCCGACCCCCCCGTCGGCGACGCCCCTGCCGGTCAGGGTTATAAAATTTGAGTGGATGGCGGTCCGTTTGGGGTTCAGATGTCAATTGTATTTTGTTACTGTCAAACAATACATGTTATGCTGGCAGCGAATGTGTGTAACGTCGGTTTTCGAAACAGAAGTTAGAACTGTAACGGCAGAGTGCTTGCTGGTCTCATCGTAAGTATTGTAAGTGTTGTAAGCAAAAGCATTGTCAATATTGTAAGTATTGTGAGCATTGATGTGTGGTAGATATCACCTCACATGATCTCGGCTCAGATAACCCTCCCCGGTGTCCCTGTCAGTAAATGGCACCTGGATCATTACAGATAAGATAATTTGTCATAATTCTTAAAGAATTGGGTGGTTTTGACTCGTTTACTCGAGGTGCAGGTCGCATTTCAATACTTTTCCATAGGCTTGCGATGTAAAGGTCACGACTCTGACCTAACCTCAGGTCACAGATCAAAAATTCTGAGATATACAAACGACACATACTGCAGGTACTGTTTTAAAGACTTGATGAGAGGAAATAACTTCGTGAAAAACTCAAGCTCTGACGTGTTTGCAAACTTTTCTGAGGTGGGGTCAACAAACCCGCTCTGGTTACCTGACCTGACCTGACCCGGCATTTTTTTTTTTTTTTTGCTGAGATGTGCGCAATGAGCATTTAGGAAAAGTCACCAAATATGAGCTGAATGTCTCGCGGCGTTTGGCAATTGTACAAGAAAATCCTGAAAGGCCTCCCCGTCCGAAATAGGGTTAATGTGTATATGAAGAGTTGCAGATGCAAAACATACCCAGATCTAAGACTGCAGTTCCCAGCGCCTGCAACGTTTTTAACCTTCGCCCCAGTGGGGGGGGGGGGGGGCATATGTTACCACCCTGTCGCGTTTTTCGCGTGTGAATAAAAAACCGCGGCGCGTAGCGCCGCGCCGCTTGGGGTAGCTTTTGGTACATCAATTTTGGACGATGTGTGAAATTTTTGACCCCAGGTCATGTCAGGTCAGGTCACCAGGTCAAGTTAACTGACCAAGCCTTAAAAAAAGTTTGCAATCATGTCCAGCCTGCAGTGTTTGTCAGAAAGGTTTTAAACTTGGTGGATTGCATGCTGTTATGGGAGCCTACAATTTGTATATCTCGGATTTTTTATATCCGTGACCTAAGGTCAGGTCAGTGGCATGATCTTTCCATTACAAGTCAATGGAGAAAAATGAAAATGCCTCTAGATCCGTGTGTACGCATAGGAACAGTCCAAATATTTCAGAATCACAATGATTTAGTCCACTCGTGATGACCAAGGTGTCATTTTTGCTGATAGCCTCTAGAAAGGTTATCCGAGGTCATTTGAGGCTACAAACAGTTTTT